ATAATGTAGTTTTGTATTGCACAAATCAAAGGAGAATTTATTAAAGGTGATAGAACCAAACATATATCACCAAATTCTTCTATACTCATAAACTCCAGCAAAGTCGTGAAATTAACATAAAACAGATACGATCAAGTGATAATCTTGTAGATGTATTTACTAAAACTTTACCATTATCAACGTTCAAAAAGTTGGTATATGACTTCAGTTCAATTGATTTTCTTATCAGGAGAGAATCTCATCACGAGAATTTCGTTAGGCTAAGCATCCATATCAAAATGTGGGAAAATTTCCCCAGGGTTTTTACTGATAAGATTTTAATGAGGCAAGATTAGTGAGTCAAATACTATCTTAATATAATGGTCATCCAAAGAAAAATGCTGTAAATTTATTAAGGTTGGATGACCACCATTCATTTTCAGCTAACCCCAACTACCCTCATTGACCTTCTGTCCCCTTAACCTCTCTATCGACATCATCACTCTTTGTACACTTTGCCTATAAAAAGGCATCCAGATGAATGAAAAAATGTGAACAAAAAGAGAAAAAAAAATAAAAAGAATAATGTAATCTTGAAGATGCACACCGATATACTAAGTTTTTGAATAACTTATTTTATATATAATTTTGTCTATTATTTTTTTTATATTTTATTAATATTTTGTTAATTTCACAATATAATGAAGCTAGAGTCATCAGGTAGCCATTATTCAAGATCTCTTTGCAATTATTAGGGCAAAGATAAAATTCATCTGATAAAAGAAGGTTGAGTTTTTCTTTTCTTTTTCGAAAAGTAAAGTACACAAAGCTGATTTCTACATCTAAGTAACCTGCGAAAGACCTAAGGTTTACTATGCTCATGAAGAAATTGGAACCCACATAACATGAAACCAAAAATGTAAATGCGGAGCATGGTTCCACATTTTTTTCTTTGGCTTTCTTCATTGGCTTTTCCTAACAGACCCCATGTTTAATCAAAATTCAGAATTTTGCCCTTCACCAATGCATTACTTGTCAAATGCCCAGTTTCCACCATATTTAATCAAAACTAAAAGGGTTAATCCCAAATTATACCCTGAAAGATCGTTCGAATTTCAATTTACACTTTCAAAGATCAAAAATCTCAATTTACACCCTCAAAGATAGAAATCTGTATCAATGCACACCTAAATCTAACAGTCATCAGTTTGTTGTCAAAAATTAAATGGATAAATTATACTTAGTGCCTTTTATACTTGTCACTTAATCATTTGGATTCCATTATATTTGGAATATTACTCCTACATCTCCTAACGTTTTTACACATGTAACACATAATTCTTTATCGTTAATATTTGTTAATATAACCTTTAAAAAATATGATTTTATCCTAATAAAAAATTATAATTTTCATATTATCGTTTATTTTATGGGTCTGTTATACTCTAAAATTTAAAATTAAAATTACTATTTGAATGTCTAATATAATGTCAATATTTATATAACATTATTTATATCCAATGCAATATATCACTTGAACATAATTATTTAGATGCCCCAATTGAGGAAACTTTTGTCATATTTAGATTTTCAAGGGATGTAAGTATAATATTTCAAATATAAGGAGTTTAGATAATTAAGTGACAAATATGAGAGGGTCTAAATATAATTTATTTATTTAATTTTAGACGGCAAACTGATGTTAGTTTCAAATAAGCATTAATACAAATTTATATGTGAGGGTGTAAATTAAAATTTTTGATCTTTGAGAATACTAATTAAAATTCAAACAATTTTGCGAGGTGTAATTTGAGAATAACCCAAACTAAAAGGATCAACGTGACTTTTACCATTTTTACCCTTTTTCTCTTTGGTTTTCTAGGGTAGGAGAAAGGGCAGTCAAACATTGAGAACATGTCATTTAAGTAAAAACAAATTAATAGCACTTTTAATCCCTAAAATATGCCCATTTTTTCAATTTGTTCCTTGTTGTATTAATTTTATCAATTTAATCACTAAATTTTTTATTTGTGTCACTTTAATCCCTAATCAAACAATTTGTTAAATTTTTTGATAAAAATGATCACATGTAATTCTTTCACGTGATATTTACCATATGATCTTTCTGTCAAAAATTTAATAATTCATCTGCATAAGGACTCAAATAAAATACTTTAGGGACTAAACTGACAAAATTAATGTGCATATTTTAAGGACTAAAATTGCTATTAACCCTTTAAAAAAAAGACTCAAATTGTTATTAACCCTTTAAAAAACAAGATACAGAGAGAAGAATGCTGAGCATCAACCCTAACTTAGCATATCTTCAAGGTATCTCAAAAGTGAATCCAATGGAAGGACCAAAAGGGAATGCTACAAGCCATGAACCAAAACTTTTAATAAGAATGAATATTGATCCAAGTTTGGAAATTTCAATAAGAATGAACTGCTCTTTTTATATTCTGAATTATGGCATTGTACAAGCATAGCATCCTACTACCGAGTTACTGGGTCACCCAACAATTATTGTTGTTAATCATTGCTAAGAAACACCATAGATGGTATAAATTCCTTGTATCGAGCATGAACGAGACATGCATCTTATAGCAAGAATATGGGTTACAAGGTCAAGATACTCGCGAAGAGATGATACAGGTCAGTTTCCAAATGTCAAAAAACGGAAGAGATACGGGGATAGCGTTAATAGTTCATTTCTAATTCATTTAAGAACAGAATAAACGCCAAAATTCTTAAACTAATCAGCTATCACAATGTAGAGGCATCCTATCACCTTATAATTTACATACAAGGCATAGAAAAGAAAACAATATTCTGAATTAGGCATTATAAATCTATTCAGGTCTAATGTGCGGACTTAAGACATCAGTAAAATGCAAGTTCCTCGAGTTTGATCATACAGCAGAGTTAAGATCAGCAAATTGCACTCTTAATTTCATATGTAGACTTCACCTCAATCAGCTTCAAGTTCAGTTCCAAACTTGTCCAATCTTTCAGCATCATCTTCCAAATTCCGGACCAAAGCATGGTTGACAGATCCATCATCCTCACTAGCATGTACTTGCCTACCATCAAACCTAAATTGCACGTAGAATTATCAGAATCATAATTGCATGTAGGTGTTACAACAGTCTACATGGAATAACATCCTCTGTTGAAATCATAGTCCATTGTTGGAAAAAAAATGAAAACGTACACATAATTTATTCAAATGCTAACAAGACAGCCCAATAGATGCGACTGCAAAATAAAGGCATTATTCAATAAACCACAAAACTAATGTGATTTCAGGGAATCAAAATAAATCCCTCTATGTCGATGCTTCCCCCCCAAAAAAAAAACCAAAATTTAAATAAAAATTATGCTTTTTTTCCCACAATCCATGCATAATTATTTTACTTGAGAAATATAATTCCATCTCACATATTTCATCTACATGATTCCTTGAATGATGAATGTTCTTTTCTATGATTATAGATGATGTTAAACTAGAAGTTATCTACAAATGGCCGATGGCAGTTCAAAAATGTAACACCATGTGTGATTAAAAATCTGCCCTTAACTTGAAGGTTAAAAAAACTGAAAGCAATGCTGTCACTCCTATCTTGATGATTGAATACAGATAGTATAACAAAAACCATTAGTAAGGGGCTGATAAACTGCAGTTATTTCTATTTAAAAGACATCCCAACACTTCAAGGCTATGCAATGTTTACTGTTCAACTTATTTTAGTAGTCATTATGTCAGCACTGTTCTAAACAAAAACATCTTATAATTCTAGATGAGGAAAAATGTTACCATCGCCCATTCATCAACTCTATGCACTTTTGAGCATCCTTCCTATCGCTAAATCTGACTAAGACAACACCCTGTGGGTGATTCTCACACACCTGCACAGTGAAAACAAGGAAAAAAAATAGGCAAACGCATCTATTCGTATAATGCAATGGGCATAAAAGAGCTAACATTGAAGAGAAAGAGAGAGAGAGAGAGAGTATATATATAATTGATGAACAGCATTTTAGGACCTCTATAATAACCAAAAATAGGGAAAGATGACCTTCCAAAAAAAGTGGGCTAAAATGCAAAAACTAATGTATAAACTAAACAAGCCCAAGGATGGAAGGGACTAGAGAGAAAAAAATAATTTTGGAATGTGCCACTTATGTGCATAATTTTGCTCAGCCCCATTTTTTTTTTTTTACCAAAAGCACTAATATTTTTTTTTTGGATCAGAAAACAAAATATTTTATTGATTTAAATGAGATACATGAGAGAGAAAAGAGGTGGACAAGTCATCCAAACCTGAATTAGTCACAAATTACGAACAAACGAAGAGAAAAAAAAATGAAAAAGGGTCTCAGTGTCGCAACATGGTATTGGTCATTATGCTCAAAACACTATACAAAAGGCCCAAAAAATTATGAAAAATTTTGAAAATTGTAAACATCATCTATGAATCATATCTAATATCCATATCCCTAAAATACACATTATTTAACAGATTAAACAGTGAAAATAAATTATAAGGTAGCGACCGAAAATAATTAAGAATCAAATATCACTAAGTTGTTAAGCTTTAAATATATGCTAGGGTTTATGGCACTTTTGGTCCTTAAAAGTATGTATTTTTTGTCATTTTGGTCCTTATTGTTCTAATTTTGTCAATTTGATCCCTAAAATATACAATTTGTATTTAAATGGTCCTTCACCCAACAGACTGTTAACTTCCTTAACAGAAATTATCACGTGTCCTTCACGTGACACTGCCTGAAGGGTATTTGGTGGAAACAAACAGTGAGGGGGTCAATCAAAGAGTCAAAGCTTTTCTATTTGATCTCCCAAATCGACGTGAAGGAAGTGAGGATGAATAGGATTTCAGTCGTTGAACTTTGCTCTCCCGGATGAAGTAGAACGAATTAAACATTCTCTAGTGATTCCTCTCCCTAAGATCGTTGTTCATCATATCAAAAATTAGGTTTAGATCTGTCATACTGTGAGGATGGATGGTAAGTGGTTCAAGTGTTCTTGGTTTGTATCTATTATTTACATTTGTTTAATGCACCTGAAAACAAGGTTTTAAAGTGAACGCTTTTTGTTGGTTGTCATTTTATAATCGATAGCTGGGACCCATACGCATTATGTGTTCCCTTATCTGAGACAAATGTGTCTTTGTTTCATAGCATTACTATAGAATTTCAATTTTAAAATTATGTGGTCCTAAACTTGATATTGTTGTCTATTTTGTGACAGATTCTGATGCTTTCACAATAAAGATGCATCATGGTGGTGAATTCAAGGAAACACCAACTAAGGTATATGAAGGTGATAAGGTTGATAGAGTTAATTTGGATGATATGGCTGAAAATTTAGGTTACACATCATATGTGGTTTTTATTACAAAGTCCTTCAGAAAGATATGGAATTGGGCTTGGTACACATAAAGTTTGATAGTGAAGTTATGGGAATGATTGATTGTCTACTAACGAATAGAGTTGCTGAAATGTATCTAGTCCACCTAGATGGTATACCACCGAGAAGTCAGGTTGTTGATGGTAATCCACGCCAGGGGAAGACAGTATTGACGTTATCATCAGATTCAAGTGATTATGAACATTTAATGGATGAGTATGGCATGTGTGATGACAATGATGAATTGTATGAGAATAACATAGATGTAGAATGGGGTGGGGTTAGAAATAAAACAGAAGGTCAGAAAAGGGTTGAGGTTAGAAACATTACACAACGTCTGGAAAGGGTTGAATGAACTTCTAATGCGACTGATGATGAGCATTATGAGGATATTGACTCAAAAGTATGGATCCTCAGTTGATTTGGAAAGTTTGGACAGTTCATCTGAAGATGATACTGAGAAACTAAAAAAACAAAACTTCAAGCATTTCACGCGTGAACCGGACATGAGGAATCCTGAGTTCAGATTGGGCATGTGTTTTAACTCACTAGTTGAGTTGAAGGTTGCAATTAGAGAGTATGTGGTTAAAAATCAAAGGAATGTTAAGTTGGTTAAGAATGATAGAAAAAGGGTTAGAGTTACTTGTAAGGAAGGTTGTCAGCGATTGTTATATGCTTCACAAATACATGGTAAGGTAAGATTACAAGTGAAGACTTTTATCAACAGACCTATCTGTGGTAAGATACGTAACAATAGGAACATTAACTCTCAGATTACAACTAAAAAGTACATGGAAGAACTCAGAATTAATCCAAACTGGCCAATGGCTGCAATGAGGGAGAGGGTCAGTAAAGAGTTGAAGTTGGGTGTCTTAACTAGTTTACTTTACAGAGCCAAAAAGAAGGCAATGTATATGATTCATGGGAGCGATGTTGAGCAATATGCCAAGTTGTGGGATTACTGTGAAGAAGTTAAAGAGGACCAACCTTCGATCAACTATAGTCATCATGGCACCACCTGATGCTCTGTCAGCCATTACACAGCCACAGACATCATGATCGCAAATAACATCACCCCTGTAATCACCAAAATGACCCAAAAGGCACCTTTCTTTAACTTCAGCCTTTTTCAGTTGATTCTCCTTTTGTTGAATTGACCTCTAACCCAGGGATAACAGACATCGATCTTTCACATATTGGGAGATCTTACCACAGAAAAAACCCATACCCACCAGCATCCTACATAGTAGCACACAACAGCTTGGGTTCGAATCAGTCCACGAAGTTCTCAGTTGAGTTGGTCGACCACAGGAACACACAACTGCCATTTCTTGTGCTGATTATATAGTCTATGTTTTTCTCTTGCTTCTATGCCATTTTTTTTTAGCTCTGTTCCTTCGCTTTATTTTTCTGATCCCTTTTCGATCTCTATCAATTCTCCTTGGCTGAAAAAAACTCTTGTTATAACAAGAATACTCCAAAAGAATTAACATCAAACGGTGAAACACACCTTCAAACCAAATCGCATAGAAGTAAGACTTCCCTTCAATGACATAATATAGGATATCACAATGGAAGGAATCTATATCTCGAATCTTCATAACCTTCACACTTTATTCCAAATAAAATGACCGTGAGGATGATGAAAAAGTAACAACCCCATCTAAAAAAATTACCCTTGAAACTTACTTTTCATTTGTAGGAACACCCTTTACAATCGGCTTGTCAAAAACAATTGTTGTAGGATGAGTAGAAGTAGAATTTTTGGGCTCATCAACATGGAATAACTTTGGTTTATCGTCATTCAATCGGATTGTAACTTGCAGTGGTGGAACTTGTGATATAACTAGAGGGTTGTGTTCAACCACTTTTTGACTGACAGTTGAAGAGACAAAGTTAAAACCTTTACTTGTTTTGTTTCATAAACTGTAGCGAGCACAAGTTCTCGCAGTGAATCGATGGATGCTTGAATTGTATCTAATATAGCATTCATAGACTTTTGTGATTCAACTTGTACTTGGGATAAAGCCTCCACTTTAGCATTTAATTTGATATTGAAAACCATATTGATTGGAAGAGAATTTTAGAACCTTTTTTTTTTTTTTTGAAAATTATGAGGTCAATCTATAATTTCAAAAAATTCTGAGGCTAAACTATAATTTCAGAAACTTAGGGGCCAAAATGTAATTTCAAAAACTTTTGGGGCCAAAATATAATTTCAAAAACTCTAAGGGGTCGATATATAATTTTAAAAGGCTTGGGGTTGTTTGTGTAATTTCATGGATTGGGTACTGATTTTTGCGTTATGAATTTTGTGTAGTGGGTAGTGGCTATTTTTTTTGTTGGACTTGGTTTTGCTAAGTTTTTTGGAAAGGGCTTAAAACTTAAGGATGACAGACGAATCTGAAGAAACACAACCACAATCGAGAATGATCAAAGTTGGGCTCTGATACCAAGCTGATGTAAAACAAGAAGGACTAGAAATCATAGAATAGAAAGAGAAGAAGAAAGAAGAGGGGGTGGAAGGGGTTTACCTCATCCTCGCAAGGAATCGGTGAAGAAACACATAAATTCTCCATGGAGAATCACTTTTTATTATATCACTCTCTCTAATTAAAAATAGTTGGGATTACACCATTATTTATAGGTCAAGTCCCCTACTAAAATACTAAAAGAGTTTCATAAACAAACTCTCAAATCCCTATCCTACTAAAATTCTATAATAATTTTCTAGTTAAACTCTAATTAATACTCCTAGTCAAACAAATATTTCCTAACTAATAAAATAATACTAAAACAAATAATAAAATTCAATTCTTCAATTTAAGCTCACCTAATCTCTTTTCGATCTCTATCATGCATGTTGCGATATAAACATACAGATTCTCTGATTGGGTAGTAGTGTTGGTGATATTGTAGATAAAGAGACGTAATAGAGATTAGTAAGTAGATCGATATATCTGTCTTATACTTCGCCCAATATTGCTTATATAGTGGGGGTTATAAGTCGATTCATGCATGATCCTCAAACCCCTTGTACGGAAGCTGGCTATTGTATTTTGAGGTATCTCAAATAAGCTCTTAGGAGGGGAATATTGTTACATGACGAAGTAAAAAGCAAGCTCAGTGGATGATAGAAGATCCACTTCGGACTATTGCACCTCTGATCGTAGGAAATATTGTCACATGACGAAGTAAAAAGCAAGCAGTGGAAAACAAGGTCCAGCGCATAGACTGAATATAGAGTAATGACATATGGTGTTTGTGAGCATATGTGGTTCCGAATTTTCCTAGATGAGCTCGGAATTCGTGATGATGCACCAATAAGGTTGTATTGTGATAATAAAGCAGTTATCAACATTGCACACAATCCAGTGCAACATTATAGGACTAAACATGTCGAGATTGATCAACACTTCGTCAAAGAGAAGCTGGACAAGGGTCTAATTTGCATGCTTTTTTTGAAATCAGAAAATCAGCTGGCCAATGTTTTCACAAAGAGGCTTAATGGCAAGCTTTTTAATCCTATTTATTTGCAAGTTGAGCATGAGAGATATTTATGCACCAACCAACTTGAGGATGAGTGTTAAGTTGCATTATATTGAGATGTATTTCTAGCTTAAAGCTAATTTTGGTATTTTGTGGATATATATAAATTGGGCTGTAGCTAAGTAACCCTAACGCACTACCTTCTTCTAATCTCTTCTCTCCTCTCTTAGTATTCTCTTCCCTAACCCTAATTAGTTTAGAATCTAACTCTAACCAACAAGGACAGTCATGCAGAGTAAAATGAATCTCTACCAAAAAAAAGAAGTAAGATTGCTTTTCCCTAATGTGTGTCCTCCACCTTCAAGTGTCTACCTTAGAAATCTCCTTACTTTCAACTCCGGTATTTTCCTATTAAGTTTAATAGGTAACAAGCTTTTGCTCATGGATTTTAGAGAGCTTCTAAGCCTTCTATTCATAGGGTTGAGCCATGATATGAAGGATCTCACACAGCACATCAGTCTTCCTATTATCATTGATTGGTTTACAGAAATCATATTGCTCCTGTGAAAACCTACATGCAAGCATGCATCAAAACAAAAGAACTTGAATCTCAGCACAGTGAGACAGAGAGGAGAGTGTTGAGGGGGCCCAATTAATGTTGAAAACAGTTACATACCTTGACTAAATCCACTGGACCAATCTTCAAACATTCCTCTTTAACTTCTGCCTCTAATTCAGTACACAAATTCTCGTCGGTCTGTGAAATAAGAAGGAATGTTAACTTAAGAGAATCCATGGTCAAAAAAGATTCTGTAAAACAACAATTGGTATAATTGGAGGCCCAGCAGATTATATCCATCATAGATTATGTTGGATTCAATTTTTCCCAGCCTACTATCACTATCATAATTCAATAAAACTTTAAAACCTTCAATAGAAAATCATGTCTGTTCATATGTTCACCAAATCTATTTATTTTGGATATCTTGAACCTTAGCTCTTAGCAGGAATTTTTACGAGTTCATTCAACCACTTACAATTATTAAATCACCTAATATCCAAACCAAACATACCCTTAAAGTATCTGAAAAGAATAAAAGGAAAATGCTTCTACATCTTGAAGAAATCCAAGGATTTATAGTCATGCTCATGAACGTGCAAAATTTTTTTTGCTGACACACTATACCAAAACTTAAATGACGAAACAACTTTACATACCAAGCTAGAGCACAATAAGCCTTTGCATGAATTGTATAGCGTTTTGCATATTCCTCTCTTATTTTCTTGTCTTTATTTGGGTGCAAGCCACATAAAAGGGGGAGGGTTAGGGGCTGGGAAGGAGCTAGTAGCATTACCCTCATTTCTGCGGTGGAGAACATATAACGAAGAACAACAGTAGCTGGTATTGACAACTTTGCATCATCACGGCCACCTAAACCATAAAAGGAAAAGAAATTGTCAAGGATTCGGTTCAGCATTTCCAAACCTATCTGCGTAATGCTGGAAAGTGTAAAAACATAAAAAATATCTCCCGCCCTCTATATCCCTGTAATGCTCTTCTTCTTTGTTTGAGGACTAACAATGGCAGTAATGGGTATATATTACATAGAAATCCTATACTTATATAATGAAATGAGCAAATTATCATTCAAGAAAAAGGACCAAGATAATGCAACTATCCAGACTACAAAATGCAATTAACAATTTGCTGAACTTGCAAAATCACAACGAAACTAGCTTAGAAAATCAATGCCTAAACTAGTTGAAGTATTTGACCTACTGAAGTTCCTCTCAACACCTCTTTGTAAAAGATAAACCCTCCCCATATTCAATTGCCATAAGTTTGATTCCCATAGCTGAAAAGAGTATACTAGAATGTATCACTTTCCATATTTGGTAGAGTAGTTGCACTTCGGTTCTGAAGCTTAGAATCCATAGGCTGGGAATTAGTTCCGTGTCGTAAATTGGTGATTGCATGAAAGATATTCATGAGTGATAAAGCAACCAGACACTATTTTAAAACATGATCAACATTCTCCTTGCTCCTCCTACACAGAGTACACTACCAAGGAAGCGAAAATGAGGGGTCCCCCTTTGGAGTATTAAGTGTCTTTTGAGCAACAATACATGACAAAACTTGACTTTAAGAGGCACCTTGGCTTTCCAAATTGTCTAAAGGTGGACCAAACTGGGTAAACTAAGATCATCAACCAATGTCTCATAATGATTTACAAGAAAATTCTCCCGATCAAAGAACATACCACCCTCATCCCACCCTCTTCTATCGAAAATTAACCATCTTGAGTATGACTCCCACGGTCCCACCAACCGGTGAAGTAGCTGAAAGCTTATTAACCTCCCTATCGTCACTGATGGAGGTCATATAGTTGCCCATATAAATTGGACTTTTTGGATTCAATTTGTTATTTGATGCTTAAATGTTAAAAAAAAAAAAAAATTCTATAATTCCATCAATCCAGTGATAAGTTATCAACTTATATCAATTTTACAGTTGCAACCCATTCAGCATCATTCTGCAACATGTACACTTATTAATTGGGGTGTCAATTTGTGTTGTGTGACCCGTGTGTCAGTATATTCGTGTCGTGTCATTGTTATTCGTATTGTATTCGTGTCAAGACTCACAAAAAAAAATCTATTTAGAGTGTTCTAACTATCAAATATTAATTTAGACAATTTATTATGTCTATTTAATAAGCATGTCAATTTTAAAACCGTGTTGTGTCGAGTTCGTGCTAGATTCGTGTTGATGGGTCATAGTTAACACCCCTACTTATTAACATCTCATAAATGAAACAACTAGCTAGGCAATGATATGGCTAAAGCCTTTTCATGCTTAAACAACAATCATTTCAAGAAAGTAACAGTTTCATAAATTGGGTGAATCACAGTGTGTCTCCTCAACTGTGCTTTCGATCTCACTTTGCCCCTTAACAATGGAGTTTCTCACACTGAACACTCAACTATGTGAATTAAATTCACATTGACCCAAAACCAACTGTTCATTATGTTATTGACAAAAAAAGTCCAACTACGTAGTAGAATACACGCTTCCAATGTCTCTACATTTGAGATAGGAAACCAACATATAACGCTTACAAGAAGGGAAAGTAGAAAAGAGAAGAAGGATTCCTCTGAAATTACAAATTACAATATACAAAAGTATATCAAAGTGGAAACTGCATCATCTCATATCAATCTCACACAGCACCAATTATCCTTTATCGAAAATATAGGAATCCCTTGAAAGACTCCTGAAGTTGAAGCCCAGAGAAATGGCAAAATTCGATTGTCCCATCATCCTTCCCATGATAGCTCCTAAACATCAAAGATCATGTCATTCATTTCCAACCAAAACACCAACATCATTGCCAAAACCACACATCTCGATAAGAGCTTAGCTTTCTTGCATGTGCCAACACCTCACAAATCAATTATAAAGACTATTCACAACACTGTGGATTCACCCCGGGGACTCCCACAAGCATCTACAATCTATTCCAAAATTTTTGTAACTTCCAACATATGTAAGAACAAATTATCCATAGACTCCAACGTTTGCACTTATGCGAAACCAATAACCAAAATTGGAGATGCAATATGAGAAAACGAGATAGTTGAAAGGCAAAGGGAGATTAGCGCATAGTTTAGGGGGACGATAATCAGCCCTCATTAATTTGACATTTTTAGAAATTTCCTATTCACACCAAAACTGAAATTGGGCAGCAGAAGAAAAGGGGTTTCTGGGGCTACCTATGGCTTGATTTTTTTCTGGCCTAAGACTAGGCAAAAGTAAAGGAATATAAGGTTCGTCAGAATTTAGAAAGAGAGTTTGAGGGTTAAAATCCGGGCAAAAAAGAGCGTCTGGGGCTGTCCCAGGTAACGTTGTACTGTGATCAGCAACCATTAGCAGTAAGAGTGAAGAGAAAGAAGAGTGTATGGCTGAAGAAGAAGAGAGTGATTAGGGTTTACACCTTTGTAATCTATTTTGTATTCAAGGTGCAATATAAAGACATAAATACTCTAGCATGTATTCAGGGTGCAATTTAGAGACATAAATACCCGTGACACAGATATAGAACTAAATAAAAGATATATTTCAACATCTCCCCTCAAGCTGGTGTAAAAACATCACAGCTGCCTATCTTGCTTAGGATATTATGAAAAACTTTGTTTGCAACTCCTTTGCCCAGATGTCTACAAAAGTCCAAATCAAGCTAGCAGCAACTTCTCTATTGGAGTATCAACACTTTCCAACCAACCATTGATATTTCCCCAGTCAACCCAAGCACCTTCAGTTTCTTCCCCAAACTTAAGATTTTCTTGTATTGGAGTATCAATGGCTTCACACCCATGCATACATGTCTTTATACAAACATCCAGAACCAAGGATCAAAATTTCGTTTCGGAGTATTGTTTCTGTAACCTAGAAAATAGAAACGTTTTGATATGTTTTAGAAACGTTTCGACTGTTTCAAAAACATAATGAAAAAAATAAAAATTTTAAGAATTATTTTTTCAAAACATTGGTCGAAATATACCAAACTATCTTAAAACACCTTAAAACATTTCAAAATAATTAAGGAAATGCATTGAAATATTACATAATATTTCGCAAGATTATGAAATACCTTGGAGTATTAGAATTTCGATTCCATCACTGATTCGTTTTGGTCTCGTTAAAAATGAAAACATTTCGGACATTTCGATTGTTTCGCAACAAAATTTTGATCCTTGTCCAGAACATAATATTTCTATGGAAAAAAAAAAAAAAAGAGATGCCTCTTGGATCTAGGAACTTCAATACCTAAAGATACTTAAGTGTACTCAATCTTTTACCACAAATTCATTAGCAATATAAGCCTTCAACCACTGTAGTCCTTTAAATCATCTCCAGTTATAAGTCTTATGGCAATAGCATCAACATACGCAGAAAGGATAGTTAGCTTACCTTCACATGGATGAAAAAAAAAAGCAAGTTACCCTGGCTCTGTTTACAGCCCCAAACGAGCATAGCCCGTGTAAACCTCCCTAACCATGCTCTACTAGATTGTTTTAACCCATACAATGCCCTTTTTCACCTACAAACCTTACCATTAAGAAAAAGTATTCTTCACATCCATTTTTAGAACAGATCAGCCAGAACTAGAAGCTAAACAAGTAGAAAAAGATGGAATTCAACTTTGCCACTAAGGCAAATGTCCCTTGATAGTTAATCCCACAAATCTAAGTAAACATTTTGTGAAATGTTTTCAAACATGAAAAGAGTGACCAAACATACATAAGTTGTCCCAGAAATATCATTAGTAAACTTCCAAACCAATAGTTGAAATTTGAGTATTACTAGTTGAAATTTGAAACCCTAAATCCCCAATTCCTAGTTTTCAAATTTTTGACCCTAAATCCCCAAATTTTGAACCCCACCTCTCTCACTCTTCTAGACATCTCTTTCTCCCCATCAATAATGAGCAATAGTGTTGAAGCAGTGGCTCGACACTGGACTTAATGAAGCAGTGGTGTCGAAACATAAATTGGCCCAAATCTGACCTAATTTCGCCTCCGCTCTGCCACCAACTAGGCAAAGTTATAGTAGTTCGGAGTCAGAAATTATAGAAAATCACTTATCATTTTTTTGATAGTGGGAAGGCAATTGCTTCCATTTGACAATAAGCACCAAGATTAGGAATTTTTAGTTATATGGATTGAGGAAAGTAGGGATGAGAACATAAGTTAAAAAGTATCCCTGCATTAGTAGCATGATCACTCCGAATTTGTATTCCCAATTTTTTTGCCCTTTCTTTTTGTAAGATCACCCATGACAGAAATCCACCCCAGATCTAGTACAAGAGAAAAGACGGGAAAATAGAGCTGTAAATAACATTAAACTAACTAAGATACATCAACCAAGGGCTGTTAATATTTCCATCTAGCTACACGCCGCCTTCCAGTCAAGATTAAAAAGAGAGACAGCCCCATCTTGAAACTTTTTTGATGTAGATGACCAAAGAGTATCCAAAAACTTGATTCTTTCCCATTGGAACTCCACATATTCTTTCCTGTCATCAAAACTCTGTTATAGCTTTCCAATCATATTCCCCAAAGAGTTTTTTTTTCCCCCCAGTGAGTCATATCCCCCAAAGAGTTGTCATAACCACACATTACCATTAAATGGATGTCTTGTCCCTTTTTCCAAACACACCATGATTTGTTTCAAATAAAGAGAGACAATCACTGGGAATAACCCAACTCAAATGAAACTGATGTAGAATAAAAGACAAGATTTTGTGCAAACATGGTCAATGCCATTTGAAAGGGGCCAATTATTTTCTAATTAAGTCAATCAAAAACAATTTAGGAGATTTTTATATATTTCCTAATTTAATTAGGAAGTGGCTTAATTTTATTTCCTATATTAATTAGGATTTATTATATCTGATTTTCTCATTTTATCTGATTTCCTAGTTTGACTAGAGCTCTACGATTATAAATAGTCAATCATGTAACCTATTGAGTAGCTTTTGATGATTTGAAAAAATATTACAGAGAAAGTTTTTTTATCTTTTCCCTATTAATTTGATATTCTTATGAAGAGCAATGTTACAAAGACTTAAAAACTAGACTTAATAATCACAACCATTGATTTCACTGTCGGTCCCAACATTTATTGAGACCTACTATCTATTCAATAGTTATGATTATCAAGTCTAATTTTAAGTCCATGTTGCATTACTCTCTTACGAATCAACAAAGTTATTGAATAACTTTAGCCTAATATTATTGCGATAACCAACAAGCCCAAGGTTATCTCGCTATCTTGGGTCCATTCCATTGCGCTCCCCAGCATCACAAACTCAATAAGAACTTGTAACATAGCTTCAATGCCATGGGGAAATGGAGAAATAAATGAGCCACACATTTATTGTTGGTGTTACACATTACACACCATTGGGGGCAAAGACAAGTAGTAGGACTTCTCCTTTGCAACACATCACAAGTATCGATCTTTCCATGGCTAAAGTCCAAGCACAAACCTACACCTTAACCAATACTCTATCCTTCCAAATCATCTTATGGGCTTCGAAAATTGAAAGAAATGTGTCATCAATTATTTTTTGAAGATTTGCAAGACACCAGATGAATCAAGGATCCAAAATCTCTTATCTCCCACCCTAGAAGAAAACAAGAACAATGGACTAAAGACAAGGTGGAGGAAAGCTCCACCACTTGTCTATTATTCAAGGTTAAAATTCCAGCCCCTTGATAGGACGATACACAATAAATGCTTGCAATGGAACCCTCTTTAGACATAGAGAATCTAAATAAATGAGGAAACAAAGACTCAACTAAGGAATCTCCCTTCCAAGTATCTTTCCAAAATTAAATTCTCTCACCATTGCCCACAGTCACCTTAATATGCTCCATGAAACCTTCTAAAACTTGTGAAATAGTTTTGCAAGGATATTGAGGAGAACTTCTAGCGATCACATTCGAGTCCCAACCATTGAGATGAGTTCCACATTTACTATTGAAAACATCATGCCACGAGGAGTTTTGTTCAACTGGGAATCTCCACAATCATTTTTCTACTCAGGCATGTTCCTTCTTTCCAAATTCTCAACACTCAGACCCCTCCACAAAAAGTTCTAATCATTTTCTCAACTTTAAGAGCTGTTTTCCTACGATTCTAAAAAGGGATAAAAAAAATATATATGGAATACTAGTCAAAATCGATTGAACTACAGTAAGTTTTTCAACCGTTGATAACAAGCCCTCTTCCACCCTTCCAATCTCTTTTGACCATTTTCTACAATAGGGTTCCAAGAACTCAGAGACTGGGGATTCCCCAAAGTTAACTCCAAGTACTTCAAAGGCCACTCTCCTAGCTGACAACCTGTCCCACTTGAGATCCTCTCTTGCTAAAAAAATTTCCTAACAATTATATCAAATCATTCTAACAATCTCCCAATAATCTTGAAATACCGTCATTGAAAAGCAATCCGGCCCTAGAGCCTTATCCCTATTACATCCAAAGATTGCACCCTTCACCACACTCTAAGATTGCACTCTTCACTCTCAAAGGGTCTTTCAAACGAACATGCTTTTTGATCACTAATGGGACTCCAATCCAGACCCAACACCCTCAGCCTCACAATTCCCTCATAAGAATACAACTTCTTGAAAAAACATAAAATCTCTATTTCAATCCTCCCATCCTCCTCCACAATTGCCCCATCCATTTCCAATTTTCCGATGAGGTTCTCTTTCCTTTTCCCATTTACCACCCTATGAAACAACTTAAGAGTTATTGTATCCTTATTTTACCCATTTGATTTTTGCCTTATGTCTCCATGTCCAAGATATTTCTTCTTTAAGGATTTCTTCCTCAAATTTGTTTATAAGAGTACTCCTTACCTTTCTCAATTCCTCATTAAATCCCCTTTCACATTCAATCCAGTCCAACTCCTCAATTCAAGTACATATTTTATACTTGTCAACTCTAATGTCCCCAAAAGCCCCAATAATCCACAGCTTCACCTCTTTCTTAATGTAGCTCAATTGCTTCGTAAACTTGATACCCTCCCCCCATTCACAACACACCGTTCCACCATGCACCAAACCTTCTTCTAAACAAGTTATGTTCTAGCCACATGTTTTCAGACATGAAAGGAACTGGTTCCCACCTAACCGTACTCGAATCTAGTAGCATTTTGCCTCACATTAGGAAAACACTCCTCCCACTCCAAAGCAAAGTTGTTAGTATCGTACGATACGCGATACGTATCGTACGATACGTTACGATACAGCCCTAAAACGATACGGATCGTAGTTATGTATCGTTTTTGCGTTGTATCGTCCGATACACGATACGTTTTTACGATACGATACGTATCGGTATGAAACGCACGATACGTGCAATTTTTTTTTTTTTTTAAACGACGTCGTTTTGTGCTCTGAATTATTTTTTTTTAATTCCCTATAACCACTGAAACGACGTCGTTTCAGTGGTTAGGGTTACAAAAAAAAAAATCAGAGATTTCTCACATATTCGACGACGTCTGTGGTTTCTCTTCAACCATCGACCGACGTCTGTGGTTTCTCTTCAGCCATCGACCGACGTCTGTGGGTGGGTGATGATCGACTGTGGGTGGTGAATGTTGTTGTAGGTGGTGATCGCTGTGGGTGGTCTTCGACTGTGTGGGTGGTCTATCGGCGACGTCTGTGGTTTCTCTTCAGCCATCGACTGTGGGTGGGTGATGATCGACTGTGGGTAGTGAACGTTGTTGTAGGTGGTGATCGCTGTGGGTGGTCTTCGACTGTGTGGGTGGTCTTCGACTGTGTGGGTGGTCTATCGACGACATCTGTGGTTTCTCTTCAGCCATCGACTGTGGGTGGGTGATGACCGACTGTGGGT